TGCGTTATGCAAGAGTCTGTGCTGCGGCTATTATGATGCCGTCTACTGAAATGTTAAGCTGGAGTCACATGGAGCGGTTCGCGCGTAAGCGGATTAGCGGATCGCCAATCACAGAATCGTTATGTTAGATCTGCTTGTAAAATTTGTAAAAATTGTAAAATTTATCCTCTTCATCCGTTTTTCACCAATCAGCGCTCGATGTCAAAGCGCTGTTGTCTGTATGAGAATTCGGGCTAAAGCGCAATAAAAAAAATATAAAAAATTTTCAAGTTTCCAAGTCGTAAAGTTATTACATTTTAAATGTAAATTTCACTTCTACTTATTACCCTAAATATATTTTTTACAGATAAATCTATTAATTCTAATTATATTAATTACGTTATGTTCTTTGTTTGAGTTGAAAGTATAAATAAATATATATATATTTTGTAGCGTTTATTCACCGTAGTTATCATATCACTTTCTTTGCATAAATCTTCCCTTATTATATACCATGGAGTATAGAGACCAGGAGACCGAACTGGATTTAAAAAGTGTGGTCAAAATCAGGTTTCTTTGTCATTTTTCTTCTCATCCTTTAAGTCATTCTTCTTCGATTTATTCTCAAATTTCGATAATACAAAGATTCTCCCTTGTAACGACTTTTTATACTAATTTCCATACTTGAGCTTTTAACAAATTTAATTCAAGAGTATAAATAAGTATAAAGAGAGTATAATAATAGTTGGCAAGACATTTATTTATTTATATAAAATGCAGAAATACATAAACGATTTACAAAATGTCTCAAATTATTAATTCTCTGATAACAATTGAATTATAAATTAAATTTTTTAATTAGAATTTTTTCTCTCACCTATAACTCGTTTTATTCCTGTCTGTCTTGCCTCTTTCTCGTTTTCTCATCGCTCATCACTGCTTTCTCACCAATATCACTTTCTAGTCTCTTATCTTTCCTCTCTTGTCTTTCGCATCTATCTCAATTCTTTCCTCTCTCATCTCTCGCCTCTATCTTGTCTCACCACTCGTCTGACGTCTCTTTCTTACTTCCAATATCTTGACTCGCCTGTATCAACCCTTTTACGTCATTACTAAAAAATGAATAGTTTACAATACATTTTACATCAAAATGTACAGAAAGAAAACATAAAATGCCTCAAATTATTCATTTGACATCAACTATTTAATTTCATGACTAAATTTCGAAGTTAAAGTTTCTCCTCTCACCTGTATCTTGAATTATATACGTCTGTCTCGTTTCCTATCTCTCGAATCTCCTCTTTCGTCTTTCAGCTCTATCCAGCTTCTTCCTTCTCTCATCTTTCGGCTCTTGCATTTATTACGTCTCATCATTCGCCTTAAATCTCTTTCTTCCTACCAATTTTTTGTCTCGCCACTCTCATCCCTATTTCATCATCATTACTAAAAAATAAATAGTTTACAATACATTTTATTTACAGAAATGTACAGAAATAAAACATGAAGTGTCTCAAATTATTAATTTTTAATAACAACGATATAATTTTAAGATTAAATTCTATAGTTAAATTTCTTCTCTTACCTGTATCTTGTTTTTTCTTTCTTGCTTCTTTCTGATTCTTCATCTCTCGTCTCTTTCTTTTTTCTTCTTCCTTTCCTACATCCCTTTTCCTATTTTTTTCCTTTCTCCATTATTTCATTCTTTCTTCTTTTTAGGCAATGTGTTGCATGCTCTCCAACACGAAAGACATTGATACTGTAAACGTTAACGATATTAACAACTACGAGCCAAAAATTAAAATATAACGTTGGTAATGGTAATAAGAATATAAATATATCAACGCAAGTTAAGCATATAATTAGTCGCAACAAGTAAAAAC